CAATCTTATATTAATTTATCTAGTTTTTCAAGTCCTTTAAAGTTTTTTCGTCTTTTGCTTAGATGATCATATACACAAGAACAACAAAACCCACAAAAAAAAAAAACCTTCAAATGGTGTTTAGAAGCAACTGAGTCATAATGACACCGCATTTTGTTGGAGTGTAATGATTGCGTAGTAGTCTGACAGATAACACTTTTTAAAAGCAGTGTGGTTTAGTGCACAGAGTGAGGAATGAGGCAACAGTGTAGAAATTGGCTTATTGGCACATTAAATGATTCTCAGTAATTTATCTCCGATACATCATTTTTTATAATCTTTTGGACAATAGTACTCTTTTCTTTCCTAAGATGTTTGTGGACTTTTTCATATTGCAATATGAGATACACTTTTTTTATGTTCTCAGGTTGTTAAAATCGACCCTATACGCCACTGGGCACCTTTTTTATTGCGTTGGTCGTAAGTAGATACTTTTTGAAGTTACTGTCCTTGGATTGAGGAGGTGGCTTAGTAAGTAGTAGAATGGTAGCTTAGAATATGCAAGGTCCACATGTCACATGCCTAAGTGCAGTGACATCCTCGTTCAGGGACAGCAGAGTGACTGGTTAATTGAGCTCTGCTGTTTCAGAACATTTAGCACCTTCAGGAGCTTTAGGTCGCTTAGTTATTATTTGAGCATCAGTCAAACAATTCCAGTGTAATAACAGATACGACTTATAAAGGGAGAAGTGACATTCTTGCCCCTTGAAATCTATGTTCTTTCAAGGTTCAGTTGTATGAGGTTTCCAGTACATATCATCCAGGAGCCTGGAATTGATCTTAAAAGTTACACTGTCAGGCAGGACTGCTTCCTTTCTCTTATTTCTGACTTATTAGCTGGGGTCTTGCTTCAGCTGCCCTTCCATGTGTTTGTACTGAAAAGCAGTGCTCTGACCACAGGTCATTGCCAGAGCAAATCCAGTTCATACTAAAAGTTGCTACCAGCTCGGGGGAATGAGATCCCCAGAGTGCTGCCATGTAGCTGCCTGCATTCTCAAACAACTAAGCATGTCTGCCTAGGCTTTTTTAAATGTCTCCCTAGGCCCTTCAGGTTTGATTTCACACTTTCTGCTTACTAAACCACAATATCCTCTCTATTCTGAATAGAATACAAAAGAAAATGCAAAACAAGAAAAAGAGTACATCATGTATAGTGAAGTTAGGTTGGAAGTAAATTGTATGTGTGTATGCATGTTGATATTGGTATTATCAAGTACATGTTTCTGGGAGTGACTCAAGCACTCGAAAAGCATTATAGTTTGGTTTGATATGTCCATTATAACTAGGAAAGGAAGAAGTACATGTTGATTGTCCTAGCTTTGATTTCAACCCCTGATGATTACCTTTGCTGTGTGAATATGTCATCTAAGTGGGAATACATTCCCACTGCCTAAATGCTTTTCTTTCTACCTTCAGATCTCTGCTTAAGTTTCATTATCCTTGACTACCTTTTCAAAATACCATCTCTAGGATTGGAAGGGTAACTCAGTTAGTATGCACAGGGCCCTGGGTTCTAGCCCCCAGCATCAGAGTAGCAGGAGAAAGCCCTCAAAAATCCTACCCCACCCATTTCCCTTCCAGCTTTTTCACTACCAACAGCTGACAAAAAAAGAAAAAAAAAAGTTGTCATTATTTACTTTCAATCTCTAAATGCTTAAGACCGAGATTTCTGATGCATGGCCACATGTCTATAATCCCAGCACTTGAAAGGCAGGAAGGTTGGAAATTTAGGTCCAACCTCTGCTACACTGTGACCTGGAGGCCAGCCTGAGCTACATGAGTCCTTGTCCTTAAAACAACTGGTGACACACACCTTTAATCCCAGCATGTGGGAGGCAGAGACAGGGTCTCTCTGATTTTTGAGACCAGCCTGTCTACATAGTTCCAGGACAGCTAGGGCTACATAGACCCTTTCTCAACCAAACAAAACCAAGTAAAGGGATTTTTCTGTCTGCTTGATCTTGTAGCCCAACATCTGAATGACGTCTGAAATACTAGGTTTCACTGTAAAGCTGTTTGGAGGATAGACGGATGAGTGGCTAAAAAATAGGGATGTGAGCACAAGGTGAGTCAGACTCCAGGGACCAGCAGCATACCAAAAGGTGAGGAGAGCTGACGTATGCACCGCCTCAGCTGCAGGCCACAGATTCCAGGTGTATGAAGACATCTCAGAGAAACATGGTGTGGAAAGTGAGCTAGGGCCCCAGGCAGAGTTACTGGAGGAGCCTTAAGTCTGTTCTTCCAGCTGCCTTCCAGGGAACTGAGCTCAAGTGGCCACCATTCCCCTTGCACATCACCACTCCCAAAGTCCTTTTCCAGACTGCCTGGTAGGTGCCTGCTGTTCTCCGTTCAGTAGGTCTACGTTTACTAAGTGGCCTAGAATCAAAGGTAAGTTTTACATAAGTGGGTGTGCACCTATAGCTCCTAGCTATCAGGGAAATTGAGGCAGGACCAGCCTCCACAATATGGTGAACTCCTCAGCTTTTAAAGAGAGGCTGGAAGAGATGGCTCAGCAGTTAAGAACTTTTCTAGAGGACTACAGTTTGGTTCTTAGTACCTATGTGGCAGTTCACAATTGTAATTCCAATTCCAGGGGACCTGATGTCCTCTTTGGGACTCCATGCACACCAGGCACACAGTGGTGCACAGACATATATTGAAGGCAAATCCAAAGTTAAATTTTAAAAAGAAATAGCACCCTCTCTCAAAAAAAAAAGAAAGGAAGGAAGAAAAGAAAAAGAGCCAGGCATAGCAGTGGACGCCTTTACAGAACTCAAGGGGCAGGGAGGGAGGGGAGGTGTGTGTGTGTGTGTTTCGGGGGAGGTGAGCAAGGTGACCCATAGCTTTAATCTCAGCATTTACAGAAGCAGAGGCAGGAATATTTTTCTATGTGGCACTCCTTTCTCCCTCACCCCTGTACAAGCAAAGTACCTCACCTTTGAATCTATGGGACAGGTGGACATTCAGTAGGGTAATTGAGTACTTAATGGAGTTCCCTTTTCAGTTCCAAAGCCTTGTTCCCTCTCCTCATCTGCTCTGTCCATTCAGTCTCCTTCCTTGTAGTCTCTGCTCTAATCAAAAGGGAACGCCAGATTTAGATGCCCAGAATCAAAGGACATTCCCAGACCTTTCTTGACCTTTTGCTCAGAGGAACAGCAAGAGTTAAGTTGTCATTCAGCCTGGAAAGGATAAAAAGAGGAAGAAAGTCTTGGCACTGGGGGAGGTCATTCAACACCCCCTCCCTGAGTCAATGGCAGTCTCTGACATCAGCAACAGCTGTATGCCTCAGTGTTCCCGTCTGCCCACACTGCCCCCTCCTTGAATGCCGTAACTCTCCACAGAATGGCAACAGCAAGGCCTTGAACATTATCTGTATGGCCTGTCCCACACAACCCCCTCCCAACTCCCTACCACTTTCCCTGAGGAGAGCCCACGTGTGTCTGGGGCTGCACGTGTACCAAGCAGTGGGTAGGATGCAGCTAGGCCAGCCAGCCTGCCAGTGCACCCTCTGCCTAGGCACAAAGGAGCAGCAGGCTTCTGAGACTCTGAGGGCTGAAGTAACACCTGTGGGCGACCTTCCTGATGCAAAGGTGTGCCTCTGTCCCTTCCTGCTTCGCTAAGTAAGGCCCCAACAGAGGAATACGGGAACTGAGTGTTGGAGCTAGCAATGGTTTGAGAGGGAAGTAGTCAGTACCTGTGGGAACTAATCCTATAGAAAAAGGTGTGGCAGAGCATGCCTTAAAGCAGGAGAACCAGGATCTCAAGGCTTGTCTGAGCCACTTAGCAAGTTTGAGGACATACCAAGTTAGACATTTTTTTTAAATAATTATTATATATATACTGTAGCTGTCTTCAGACACACCAGAAGAGGGCATCGGATCCCATTACAGATAGCTATGAGACACCACCTGGTTGCTGGGAATTGTACTCAGGACCTCCAAAGAGCAGTCAGTCAGTGGACTTAACTGCTGAGTCATCTCTCCAGCCCAACACTCGTCTTAATCCCACAAAAGAGACAAGAATCAAGAACTGGGTTACACCTCTCCAGTGGGCACTGATTGGGAGGGTGTGCACCAGAGGGACAGGCTACTAGAAAGGTGGGATGGACAAAAATGAGCCCTGGCAGAAGAGTGGGCCTTTGGACTAGACCTTGGGGCCTCAAGACAGTAGCTCCCACAAGGCCTCTCACACCACATCACCAGGAAAGAAATGTAGGCTGTGGGCCCCAGCTGTCCTGTATGGTTCCATATATAGCCATTCATCCAGTTGCTTTGAGGGAGTAGGTCTTATGCCTTGGGACAGTAGTGACAGGATACAAAAGTATCCTGCTGGCGGCAGGGTCAGGAGCAGAACAAATCTAGTTAAGACTTTACTGACGACATTCTTGACGTCGGCTTAAAAGTAGCCTCAAAGGTACCTGGAAAGGAAGAGATCTTGGCAGGGCAGTACCTGGTGTGTCTGGGATCAACTGAGGCAGTTAATTCTAAGGTTTCCTGGACCTCTGTCCAATACCACAGGATCACATACCTGCAGAGACTGAGGGGAGTCAATGTCCAAGTTATTCGTGTTTCTCACCTTTGTGCACAGGTCAAGTCTTGTAGCAGGGCTGGCCACCCTTAGCTGTGAGAGGAAGAGTGAGCTTGCAGGGTGAAACCTAGGCCTAAGTCCTGCTCTGCCTTGAGACCTTACTGGGTGGGTCATCTCATACATATCCAGACTGTCCCCAGAATGAGACGTTAGAATGGAGTTTGTATCAATGGGTGAGCAAAGAAATGAGTAACTGAACACATGAGGTGCTCAGGAGGCCACATGTGGAAGGAACCAAGGCCAGCCAGAGGACTTGAGCTATTGCCCTAGCCCTGACACTGACATCCTGTTTGTCTTTGAGCCAGCCATTGACACCCTCCAGACGTGTTGAGGGTCTTGCAGCTTTTTTTTTCTTTTTTCTTTTGAGACAGGGTCTTTCAGTGTAGCCTTTGCATCTGAAATCTTACTATGTAGACCAGGCTGGCTGTGAACTCAACAGAGATCTACTCGGTGCTGCCTGGGAGACTTGAGATTAAAGGTGTGTGCCACACCATGCCTGGCTCTGGTCTTTTTGCAAGAACTCTTTGCTTCTTTTACCCTGGCTCTCTTTCTTGGCCAGAGTTTCTCTACAGTTTCTGACTCCCCCCAGCCACTGGGCATTTAAGTGAGTGCTGAACATGGAGCTTGAGGACAGGGCTTGAAATCTACATTGAAACCTTTGGAGGAACTGCCCTCTGCCCCATCTCAGTGACCACTGCTTTCCCCTACCTGCTGAGTCCGGTCCTCTCCACTCCCTCTCCGCAGTCTGCCCCCTCCCACCTTGGCCAGCACTGCAGCATGAGGCAATCATTCCATCCTTGACCCTCTGCACAATGACTGATGACTTTTTTTATCTCAAGTGATGATGCACAGCCTTCCGCTGGAAGCATTTAAGGCAGAGCACTTGATCTGAGCCACAGCTGCAGGACTCAGGACCTTGAGAGGCTCAGGAAGAACAATCCTTGAGAGCAGTAGCAGCCGCAGCACTGCCACATCTACCTACCAAGAAAGCATGTTACAAGCTACGTTCAAGCTGTGTGCTGGAAGCTCCTACAGACATATGCGAAACATGAAAGGTGAGTCTCCAGGGAGCATGAGAGCTTGCCAAGAGGGTGACTCTTGTCACTCTATAGCTAAGAGGCAGACCTTAATAGTGGGGCAACCCTCAGGAGACAGGAGTACACCCCACTCACTATCCAGTAACTCCCTCAACAGCCTTTTTCTAGTTAACAAGCCCAGGTAAACTTCTATAGCCTGGTAGGGCCAGGTCTGACCAGCCCACTCCTGCTTTTCAAGATGGAAAAGATATCTGGGCCCTGGAAGTGCTAGAGGAAGTTTAACACAAAACTTTGGGTTAGAGATGTGGCTGGAGTTCGGGTCCCTGCTGGGATCTGCCTTCCTGAGCTGGTTTGCTCTTAGGGGATTAGTGGGCAGAATGACTCCCCTCGTGGCAATTTTCTAGCTCCTTGACAAATTTCTTTCCCTCCCTGCAGGACTGAGGCACCAGGCTGTGCGGGCCATTGGCCAACAGCTGACCCGGAGAGCACTGAGGGACCCCAGTCCTGGGTGGATGGGACAGGCTCAGCGTCGGAACTCTCTACTTGGTAAATAGTGGGGCTTTCTGAGCTTCTGCCAGGGATGGTGGGTCTTAGGGTGCCGTTGTTGTTCATGAAGCCTGTCCCCTGCCTGTGGTTACACAACTCCTGAGTCTACCCTGACCTTCAGGAGGGACCCTATGGCTTTGATCTTGCCTCTTCTAAGGGCTGAACACATTCAGAGGGCAAAGGGATGAGAGCTGTGAATTGGCTAGGACACTGGACCCATGTTTTCTTTCTCTCCTTGGCTATGTATACAGGTTCTCAACTGGAAGCAACACTCTACAGTGACCAGGAGCTGTCCTACATCCAGCAGGGAGAGGTGGCTATGCAAAAGGCCTTGGGCATCCTCAACAACCAGGAAGGCTGGAAGAAGGAAAGCCAGCAGGTAAGCAAAGATGGCTGAGAAACCTGCAGCTACTGACTGTCCCACTGCCATGCTCAAGGCCTGCTGGGATTCCTACTGCATTCACAATTGATAAACAGCCACGCAGTGAGGGTGCATACCTTTTAATCTCAGCACTCAGGAGACTGAGGCATGTGGATCTCTGGGAGTATAAGGCTAGGCTGGTCTGTGTAGCAAGTTCCAGCCCAGCCAGGGCTGCATAGTAAGACTTCCTCAAAACAAGCAAACAAGGAATGTGTTCTCAGATAACTCTTCCTCCATAAAACCTCACTGAGAAACATCATTCCTATTTTTTAACTACCCTCCAAAAGCTGTCCACTCATCCAGTAGAAAGCACATGTATTAGAGGATGTGCAGCCTACCCTGTACATGAGCTCAGTGGGTAATATGGTCTCATCATGACACACAGAAGCAAAACCTATGTTAAAACCAAGAGCTCTATTATTAGACCTACTTTGGTGGCCTTATCTTCAACAAAAGTTTACACTCTGTCCATTCCCCAGCATTCAGATGAAGCGTCTTGTTGCTCAGGCTCTTACAGTCATGGAAATAGGCCAATAGGATTTAACAGACTAATAGACTTAGCACTGGTCATTGCTAAGCGTCCCTGGGCAAATCACTGAAACGTTCTGGCCCCAGGTTCTTCTAAAGTGACTTATGTTGAGCCAACAAAACAACAAACCAAAGAGCCCAAATCCTCTGTGTCTAATTAGCTGTTGTAGGTCAGATGTTTTTACACTCCCAGTTCTGTCTGTTGAAGTATGGGCCATTCTAGTTGGACCTGCCCATACAACCAACATTCATCACCAAAACAAAAGGCAAGGTACCTCCTTCTGGCTTTGAGTGGACATACAAGGCTTGTGGACGCAGTGTCTACCTACTAGACCCTCACAGTAGAGATCCGGGTACCCTAATGCCCATCATAGACCTGCTGTCCCCTTTCCTAGTATTGTCTAAGACCTAAGCTAGGAACCATTTTCTCTAGCCATAGCCCATTGTCTCCTTGTCCCTAACAGGAGAATGGGGATGAAGTGCTGAGTAAGATGGTGCCAGATGTGGGCAAGGTGTTTCGCTTGGAGGTGGTGGTAGACCAACCCATGGACAGACTCTATGAAGAACTGGTGGACCGCATGGAGGCAATGGGAGAGTGGAACCCAAATGTCAAGGAGATCAAGGTGAGGAAAGTGCAAGTGTGGGCGGCAGGGAACCAAGCAAATGCAGTCCTGAACTAGGGGTGCTTAGCCTACCACTGGCTGAGTCCCGACTCCAACTCCCTTGTGTTAGGTCCTGCAGAAGATTGGAAAAGACACAGTCATCACTCATGAGCTGGCTGCAGCGGCAGCAGGCAACCTGGTGGGGCCCCGTGACTTTGTGAGCGTCCGCTGTACCAAGCGCAGAGGTTCCACGTGTGTGCTGGCAGGCATGGCCACACATTTTGGGGAGATGCCCGAGCAAAGCGGTGTCATCAGGTAAAATCTGGCAGCGGTCTCCAAACTGCAGTGCTAGAATCATGATTCCCCACCTCCAAGAAACCAATTCTTAGCCCCACTCTCAGCTTTAACAAAGTAATGGCCAGAGGAGCCCCTCTTCCACAGCCAGGAGGTTTGTTCTATCCTCCCAGAACTCCTAAGTATCCTAGTAATTCTCCTAGTAAATCCTAGTAAAGCTAGGAGCAGGCTTCTGTGGGTTCTAACAATGGTGGCCCAGCAGGAAGCCTCTGGCCACAACCAGCAGGTTCTGAGCTAGTACTCATGCCTACTGTTACACAGTATTTTTGGTAAAGTACTTCCTGGTGAACACTAAAATCGAAGGGACTCTAAAAGTGTAACAACCAGTCTAAGAATTGGAACTTGTCCTCCTGCCTTGCCAGAGCTGAACACGGTCCTACCTGCATGGTGCTTCATCCACTGGCTGGAAGTCCCTCAAAGACTAAACTCACGTGGCTGCTCAGCATTGACCTCAAGGTGAGAAGCACAGAGATGGCCTGGAGGAAGCAGTAACAGATTATGCTCTTGTCCCCAACAGAGATAAGCCTCTTGCATTTTTCTTGACTTTTAAAACTTTATAGTTGTGTGTGCATGATGTATATATGTGAAATGTAGGTGCTCATGTCACAGCAGTGTGAAGTCAGAGGACACTGCTGACTTGGGGCTTTTCCTTCCCTTTTCGGGTCCCAGGAACATAACTCAGGACTATCCGGCATGTGCTGTGACCCACTAAGCCATCTTGCCAGCCTTCCTCCCTCTTGCATTCAGATAGTCACAGGCAATGGACGTAAACATAGCTTGACCTAGTGGAAGCTTGCAAAAGTCTACTTTCACCTCATCTAAAAAGCTGGGTGCAGTGTCATAAATTTCAGTACTTGAGGGCAGAAATAGGACGATCACATATTTGAGTTTCTAAGATAACCTGAGTTAAAATAGGAAAATGCTTTTTAAAAAATCAGTTTTATACACAATTGTGACCATTTAAAAAGAGGTGATCCTAGGCCCAGTAGGTGACCTTTCAGGTGACATAGATGTCTCAGGGTCAAACAGCTGGGAATCCTATCTTTAACAATAGGGTAGTAAACTAGACCAAATTTGAAGTGACCCTGCTTATGTGAGGTATAGAACCGTGCCCAGGATCCCAGCACTCTTGTCTCTACCCCAGGGGTGGCTGCCGAAGACCGTCATCAACCAGGTCTTATCACAGACCCAGATAGAGTTTGCCAACCATCTGCGCAAGCGCCTGGAGTCCAGCCCTGTCTCAGAGGCCCAGTGTTAAGGACTGCCCACCACATCGACCTGTATGCCACTGGAAGCTCTCACTGGAAGCTTGCAAGTCTGTCAATCTCCAGTTAACGACAATGGGAGGGGTAGTAGTCATAAGACGGTAGGACTACTGGTAAAAACTGTCAGGAAAACAGAAAGGAGGCTTAGAATAAAAGTCCTCTAGTGCCTCCCACTGACTAGCTGTGAAGGCTAAGGGATAGGTATCTATGAAATCTTTTTTCTAGGTCTGTACATGCTGACCTAAAAAACCCCTACTAAAAACGTCAGCAGCTGATGTGACCAGGGAGTGCTGAGGACCAGGAACTGTCTGTTGCCTTACGAGCTCCAAACTGAAGGCAGTGTGTGCAGAACATGGGCTCACCTAGGAAACTCCGTGGCCTTCTGCTCCTCTGTAAAAGGCCAGAACTCCAACCTACCCACAAAGGCCCCCCAGAGTACTCCAACTTTTTAAGGAGAAATGGAATCATCACTGTGCTGGCTTCCCTACTTATCCTATGAATAAAGAACCACACCTGCACGTCTCAGCCTGGACATGTCGAGTCCCAGTCTAAGGAGTCGGTGCTGGCAATCACAGCTTCATTAGAGTTCTGGGTTTAAATCTCCGAGTTTATTAAAGGGAACGAAGCTTCTGGAGATTTACACCATTTGACTGTTTAGACTCTTCCCTAAAAATGTAATTTCATAACAAAGACAATTCTAAACTGGTTCTTACAGAACTCCAGCTAAAAGCCAGTGTGGTGGTGCATGCCTTTAATCCCAGCACTCACGTGGCAGAGGCAGATGGATCTTTGTAATACTGAGGTCAACCTGGTCTACATAGGATAGCCAGAGCTGCATAATGAGACTGTCTCAAAAATATAAAACCAGAGATTGAAAAGATGGCTAACCAAGCTGCTCTTCTAAGGAATCCAGGTTCAATTCCCAGATCCACACAGCGGCTCACAGCCATTAGTTCTAGTCCCAGGCATCTGATGCCCTCTGGTGGCTTTGGTGAGCACCAGGCATGCACATGGTACACAGACATACAAATATGTAGGATGAATACCCATCAACACTAAAACAAAACCCTTGTTGGGCATGGTGGCACACCAACTTTAATCTCAACACTCCAAATGATGACACAGGGGAACTGCCCTAAGTTCCAGGTCAGCTTGGACCACAGTGAGACCATCTTACAACAAACAGAAGTGAAACTCTTCAGAGTTGGTAAAGATTAATAATAGCTTTTGGGGAGGAAGATTGTGATAAGATTTTCATTTACCTAATTAAAAGGGTTATAGTGAATACTACTGACCAATAATGCTAAGATAAAGTGACTATGTCTATTGTTTATCAAGTTAGTAATACATAGACTAGATGTCAGCTTGGCTCAGAGCCAACAACTTCCTTGTTTGGAAAGGTTAAAGTATTATATTATCTCTTAGGAAGGCAAATAGCTAGAAGTCAGTAGAGCTATAACATTCCTGTTCCTGCATTTGGAGATAAAGATATAACTTTGGAGCCAGGTGATGGTGGCACACGCATTAATCCCAGTAGAGGCAGGTGGATCTCTGAGTTTGAAGTCAGCCTGGTCTACAGAAAAGTCAGGGCTGTTACACAGAGAAATCCTGTCTTTTTTATTTTTTTAAAGAGAGAAACTCAGTGTGTAATAGTGCTTGCCACCAAGACTGATGGCTTGAGATGGAAGGAGGGAACTGAGAAATTGACTCCACAGAGGTCCTGATAGCTAAGGATGAAACAATTGTAACAACCTAAAGCTTTTCCTTCTAGACATCTTTAAAAAAAAAAATGTAATGTCTGTGTGAGTGTGCATGGGCCATAGCAGGAGTGTGCCATCACCCCCAGCCCTGGTCTTGGGTTGTCAGGGTAGGCAGCAAGCACGTATATCCATATCCACAGTGCCATCTTGCTAGCCCACTTTCCTGTCCCCTACAGTCTGAGCAGTGTGGGCAACCCCCATCATTTGCAAAGAACTGAGCTTATTTATGAACAGAACAATGTATTTATTTATTGAAGTCTTAAGACTTACCTGATATTTATTATACTTCATTCTGACCATTTTCAGTCTACTTCAGACACAGATGAGTATTGTTTATCCTGGCACTTCCAGGTGAGGAAGGGCAGTTGTAGAGCTTTCCTGACAGAACTGTCACCAGGGTCAGCTAAGAGAGATCAACTACTTGCTGAAAGACTTGGGACAGCAACAGGTGTGCTGGCTTCAAGAGAACAGGCTGACAGTGAAGAAACAGCCAACACTGTGGCTGTACCTAGACTAGCATTTGCTCCTGTACACACTGGAACTGGGTCTCTCTGCTGTCTGACATGTTTTTCCCAGCTGTTTAATTTTACATTTCAATAAAAGCAGTTATCAATGGCAGTCTGATTACAGGTACCTGTAGATGCGTAGTTCTTCTTTTAATCTTTCAAACAAACCTTACTAACACATCCAAGCTCACAACTATACACATATTTTTTTTCCTTGTCTCGCTTCAATTTTATTCTTTTGAGACAGGGTCTCACTCATTCTGTAGCCCCAGCTGGCCTGGAACTCTTATCAACCCTCCTGCCTCAGCCTCTCTTGAGTGCTGGAATTAATGGTGGGGCCCGCCAGCATCTGGCCATTTTTTTTTTAAGACACTAAACATTGTCAAGCAGCACCTTGATAACTTCTAATGTACGAAAGCCAGATACACAAACATCTAGGTAGACAGGAGACCTATGCCTATGCATGGTCATGTGTCAACACTTCACCCCTAGTTCTTCTAATAGCATCACTGTTTTCTTCAGTGTCCTTCAAATGCCGATGACCTCCCTCTACAAGCTGGCTTGCCCTTTCTCAGACCAGTCCTTGCATTAGTGGGTATCTAGCAGCTGATAGGCTGTGATCCCAGCTTTAAGTAATACTGACTCCCCCAAAGAGTCAGAGCAAGGCACATTTCTATCAGTTTGAAGACAGCCAGGCTATGTGGACAGACCTTGCCTCAAAAGGCAAGAGGAGATATTCATGTATGAAAGCAGCCTGGGTGATTCAGTAGGAGGCAAGTGTAATAAAATTGCCATTTGTGTTACGATAATAGTTGCTTGAACCTGGGGAATTCTTAAATAACAAAACAAAATAATTAGAATAAGAATATTCTATGATAATTCTGCACCATACCTAGCTCCTAGTTAATCACTTTACCTAGTACTTAACTAAAAAAAGAACTACAGAAAGTCTTTAGGTAACTGTAAGGTTTTGCTTTTGCCAAAGGCGAAGGCCATTAAAGATCGTCCTAAAGGCAGGCACATTGTCATTTTGATCTTAACCCCTGCTGGCTACTAGGCAGACAGATGAGAGGACGGGCTGCACATCAGCACTAGGTTCAAGGACAGGCATGGAGGCCTTCTATACCCTAGCTCTCTCAGATTCCATCGGACACAGGACAGTGAAAACGACAGTGAAAACACCTGGGTGCCCGGGGAAGAGCAATGAGAGAGCAGTTGACACCCATGTCATGAGCCTGTCCCAACCTGCCAGTGCTTCCCATTACACTGCTCACAACGTTGGCACCAACAGGAACTCAACTTCAAGTGAAGCCAAGTACCACACAAGTTTGAAAACAAGTTTTATTGGAAGAAAGATCTAGCTTTTAAGCCTCCAGGCAAATTCCTTTTACAATGATAGTTCGTAAAACCCCACTAGTTTCACAGATCCAAACTCCACACCAAAAAGATTGCCTTTAGACTGTTCCAGAATGTACTGCCACTGATTTCAGCCTCTCAGAAACAAGCTTGCCTCCCCAGAAACAAGGGGGATCAAATATCCTTAAATAAGCTCTGTCTGGGCATGATTACTCACTTTTTAGAATATACAGGAACGTAACAGGTCCTTGCTGGCAGGTCTGCCGCACAGCACCAGTTTTACGGGGAGCTTATGGGCTCTTGAGATCAGCAGTTGATTTATGGCACTCAGAGTGAGAGCAGTAGTTTTGTGGGGAGGGACTGCTGAAGGGCAGGCAGGCAATGCTGCAGTCCCACCCAGCCTTTTACGTTGATCAAAGTGTACTGCAGCATCTTTGGGAAAACATTTGACACTTTATATAAACAAAAGCAAAACCCAGGATTATTTTACAATGTCATCAGAAGCATGGATCAGTTAGGGCTCCCAGGGTGGACTACGCCTTCCATCCACTTCTGTCTCCACATGATACAGAACATCAGCCAGTGTGTGTTCTACCACAGCGCCCCAGCCCATGTCACTCATCTGCAGGAGCAATAAAAACAGTAGAGTGGGTGACTACAGAAGCCAGAGCAAGAAACAGAAAGATCAAGAATGAATGCAGGTGTTCTAATGGTACTCACAGGGTGGTACGTGAGATCCTTTGGAGGGTACTTGAAGGATGGTCCAAAGTTAATGGAAACCTGGGACAAGTTCAATTCACACAGACACAGAAAAGAAATCGAGAAACAAACAAACAAAAAAAACAAAAAGTTCACTTGGCAGGGGATATTTAAAGGAAAACTACAGGAAGTGGGAATTGTAGTGCATACCCTAGAGAGGCTGAGGCAGGAGGATCCTGAGATTGAAGCCAGCCTGAACTACATAGCAGACCCTGTTTTGAAATAAGAACAATGTCTCTGAGATACTCAGGGTCTAGCTGGAACAAAGGAGACATATGCCAACATTGCTAAACGAGGTCGACATCCTAACGTCTACCAAGCCTCCCTCAGGCAGAAGCAGACTTCCCATCGATTTCTGTCGTCTTACTTTTGTTCAATAGAAGGTAGTGAGCGAATACACAGAAATCTCTATGAGCTCATGTTTCCTTTATAAGCAAGCAGTACAGGCAGGGTTTTTTGTTTTTGGTGTTTTTTTGGAGACAGGTCTGGCTGTCCTAGAATTCACTATTTAAACTGAGCTGGCATTGACCTCAGAGACCAGCCAGCCTCTGCTTTCCAAATGCTAGGATCAAAGGCATACACCGCCATGCCTGGTAACCCTCCCTCCTCTCTCCCTCTACCCCTCCCCTCTGTGTGTGTGTCTATTTTTTTAAGTATAAGCAACAGTCACCAATTGCAAGTCATCAAACAAATGACAACAACGAGTCATGAATGGATATGCTGTCTATCTTTCATGTCAAACAACAAGATCTGCAGAACACAGTGCATACTAACACCCAATTTCACTCATGCAAATATTGAGACATCCAAATATATGTCTATTTCAAGGCCTCCCAGAGGACGTTCTCATTTGTTTCTAGAAATCACTTTCCTCTCAAGTTAAAGGCTTTCACCACAACCCATGCACACACTTCCACATGCAGGGTACATACCGTGCAGCTCTTGTACAGTGAAATGGCTGGGAAGTAAACACCTTCAAAAATATCTCTGTAAGCCACACCCTGATTGACACCATTTTTATAAAATATTATCTGAAATGAAGATCAAGGTTTTACTTTAGAATTTCACAAAGATTAAAATCACCAAACTCAACTGCACTTAATACTGCTACCAGAATAACAATACTGTTAATGTACTCATTCTAAAATAACATACATCTTACATATGCCACTTTAGGCATTTCAAGTAAAATCAATGTAAGCACATACTATTTCAGCTGACTTTAGGCTTTTTTTTTTTTTTTAATTTTCTTGCTACATATAGCAAATAGTCTGTATTCCATTATTCATTATACTTTACTTGGAGGAAGGGCTGGGACAGAGTCTCACATAGTCAAGGCTGGCCTCCAGCTCACTCTGCAGCTGAGGGTGACCCTCAACAGTCAACTCCTTGTGTATGGCTCCTAAGCACTGTGGTCACATGTGGCATGGGCCACATACCTAGCTTTCATTATTCTGCATTTGTAAGAAGGACCGAAAACTTTTCTCTCTGCCTTGACCTTTTTTATGCCTGCTTCAGCTTTTAACTGAATTTTAATTTCTCCCCCAAAACAATCAGAACTCTCTCTCTGTATCTCACAAGTCTACTGACCCAGGAGGCTTTTCAGAGTTTTACTTCTCCTCATGCCTTTCTTTTCTGACCTTTGGCCCCTAAGCTTGACTCTGTGCTGGAGGACCTTCTCTGATTGTGCTGTGACCTTGGGCTGCAGGACTCTGGGAAGGGAAGACAAGGAGAGTTCTAGAACAGTGAATGAGCCATCTAGCCCCTGGTATCTCCAAGTGACACAGCACAATCTCCTCTAGTTCTGGTCTCCCTCTGTGTTAGCATCTCCTTCAGACAGAAGAGTCTCTCTCTCACTGGCTTCTTTAATCTCTGACAGCGTTCTTTATCAGGACACTGACTGTGTAGCTCTTTCTTCACATTCATGCAGCAGAGAACACAAAGGGAGTCTGGTCTATGGGCAGAAGTACTTTCTTAGCTGAAGGCGGCTGGACCCCTCAGTCCCCTTGAGCCTCAGCTGCCTTCACTTTTATCCTCAAGAAGTCTCATTCTTCAAAGCGTCACTACCCTGACATGTTTATGACTGTGACTCACCTCACTATGGGGAGTCTGTTTGAGGCTCTTCTCTGCTTTGTCCACAAAGTCTTTTTCTTCAAAATACAAGTAACTCTTGAACTTTATCAAAGCCTTAAAAGTACAGTAAGAAAAAAGAAAATGACACAATGAAGAATCATCGAAATCATCATGGGGAAAAGAAAGGCAGATTCACACAGATAGTGCTGCAGCCTTGTAAAGTTCTTCCCACTGAATTTTGTCAACTTCAGTTCCAAAGTTGTCACTGCCCCCTGGCCCCCATTCAGGGTCTCACTATGTAGCTCTGGCTGTCCAAGAACTGACCTTGTACACCAGGCTGGCCACGAATTTAGCAGAGATCTGCCTGCCTCTGTCTCCCAAGTGAGATGAAAGGCATGAGCCACTACGCCTGGCTGCTAAGTGCTTCTTAAGAGTCTAGCTGGTCATGTTCGTTAAACATGTCTTTAAAAGGCCCTTAGTAAGAGAATTATACAAGCACACTTTTTTTTAAAAAATCACAAAGTGCCTATAAAAAGTAAATTAATTGAAAAGTTCACAGAGCCTAAACCTTTTTTCTTTTAATTAATGTGCATTGGTGTTTTGCTGTCTGTCTGTATGAAGCTGTCACATCCTGAAGTTAGACAGCTGTGATCTGCCATGTGGTGCTGGGACTTGAACCTGGGTCCCCTGGAAGACCAGTAAGTGCTCTTAGCCACTGAGCCATCCCATCCCTCCAGCCCACTAAAACTTCTTATTCTGTGACATTTTTGGAATCACTGGAGGAGTCATTGATATGACTGATTTTCACTAAATACAATAAAGAAATCCAGCGGAGGACACAAGAAATTAAATATATCATGTTGGAATAATCTGATATTCCTAAGGGGAAAATAAGCTCAACTTTAGCACTACCCTGTAATTCAAAGTCATCAGGGACCTAACACAAGGACAAAGGTCAATATGGGAGGATAGTCTCATGACTTGTGGGTACCCCAAAATGTATTAAGTCATAGAAATAAATGTAAACGAAAATTCAAAACAAACAAAACAACAACAAAAAATCCCACACCTAATAAACTTAACATTTTTGGTTCATTAGAAGATATCATCAGAGCTGGACAGACGGCTCCATGGCTAGGTGCAGGTACTGCTTGCTGAGACCTGAGTCTGGTTCTCAGCCCCATGGGGGTGGCTGAACCACCTGTAACTCCAACTCCAGTGAGATCAATCTAATACCTCTGCCCTCTGTGGGCGGTACACTCTGGTGTACACACCCTATACATAAACATCATTTAAAATAATTTGTTTTCTTCTGTTTTCTTGAGACAGAGTTTCTCTGTGTAACAGTCCTGGCTGTCCTGAAACTCCCTTTGTAGACCAGGCTGCCCTCAAACTCACAAAGATCCACCTGCCTCTGCCTCTTGAGTGCTGGGACTAATGGCATAAGTGCCACTATGCCCAGCTAAAAATAATTTTAAAAGAATCATCTTTAAAAACAATATCATTAAAACTGAATATGGGGTTAGTGCTGGAGAAAAAGCTCAGTGGTTAAAGGCACAGGCTGTTCTTGCAAAGGTCTTAAGTTAAATTCCCAGCACTCACAGTCTATAATGGGATTCAATGCTCTCTTCTGGTATGCAAATGTACATGCAGACAAAGCAACAATATCCATAAAGAAATAAGTTTTTAAATAATTGACAATAAAAACAAGTCTTAACAAAACAGAACTGGAGAGAGGGGCTAGAGAAATAACTCAGTAATTAAGAGCTGTTCTTCCAGAGGACGTGGCACCTACATGGTGGCTCACAACAATCTATAATTCCATTTCTAGGGAATCCCCTAGATTCTAGACACCAGGTACCCTCATACATACAAGCAGGCAAAACATTCATAAAAGAAAAATGAGTAAATTGAATTTATTTTCTGTTTTGTTTGTTGAGACAGGATTTCTCTGTGTAGCCATGGCTGTCCTGGAACTTCATTTATAGACCAAGCTGACCTAGAACTCAGAGATGCACCTGTGTCTGCCTCTTGACTGCTGAGGTTAAAGGCGGCAGCACCACTGAAGATAGCTCAGCAGTTAGAGAAACGGTTCCTCTTGCAGAGGATCCACTTTGATTCATAGTATTTGCATGACAGCGCCCAACTCTATCTCTGGTTCCAG